AAGCATCTTCTACTCTCTCCATTAAGCTCTTACTTATAGAAATGAAAATACTACCCCTTGCCCACTGTGAGTCGTTCCCTTCATGGAAAGGAGTTTGTACTAAACTACGCAGCACACACACATGTCATGGATGGTCCATGTTTGGAATGGGGTCACGGGGCAAAATGTTTTCTGTATGTAATATCTAAAGTTAAGAATCCTGACCTTGGCCTTCAAAGTAGCACACTGTGCACCCAAATGCAAATGTATTCTTAAGTTTGTAGGAATATTTCTTCATATTCTCCACCAGATTTAAGTGAATCTCTGGTGGGGGGTGGGGGGGGAGTGCACGCAAATAAACTCTTCCATCACCAATGTAACAAAGAGTAGTTAGTTACAAAAACACACTAAAAATGCGGGGCAGCCCAAAGCAAAAGCTAGTGTTAGTCACAGTTGTCATTAGACAAGTCTCACATTTGCTTTAAAAAAAAAAAAAAAACTTTAGGGGCGCCTGGCTGGCTCAGTCAGTAGAGCATGCGACTCTTGATCTCGAGGTCATGAGTTCAAGCTCCATGTTGGGCACAGAGCTTACTTTAAAAAAAAGTTTAACTAATGGAAAATTATGTTTTAAAATGTCAATTTCAGGGCGCCTGGGTGGCTCAGTTGGTTAAGCAACTGCCTTCGGCTCAGGTCATGATCCTGGAGTCCTGGGATCGAGTCCCACATCGGGCTCCCTGCTCAGCGGGGAGTCTGCTTCTCCCTCTGACCCTCCCCCCTCTCATGCTCTATCTCATTCTCTCTCTTAAATAAATAAATAAATAATCTTTAAAAAAAAAAATGTCAATTTCATGAAATTAGCCCATAGTCCATGGGAGTTCAACCCAAATACCTCAAAGTGGCATCTGAAATAATAGCTAACTCATATTTTTACACTGAAAGCATATCCTGAAGATGACATCTACCTACACAAAACAAATGGCCTATGCATTCATGGACTGTTCCAAACAGATGCAAAGCAACAAGAGCGGAGCCCTGTCCTACTCATCTTTCTTCCTACAGCAACTGCTGCTGACATTTACTACATGCCTACTATGTGCCAGGCACTGTTCCAGTACCTTCCCATATATTATCTTATTTAATCTTCCTAACACCCAAACTTGGGAGGTAAATACTACTGTCATCTCATTTTAAAGATGACCACATCTGAGCACAGAGAAGGTAAATAATGGACCCAAGATCACCCAGCTATTAAGCAGAAGAGGATTCAAACCCAGGCAGCCTTATCCAAAGCTCAAGCTCTTACCACAACCCAGTAGCAAGCAAGCGATACATATGCATTGAAATAACACTTTATAAGTGTTTGACCAATGGCTTGTATAGTCTACACATTTTAAAAATGCATACAACATATAACTACTCTTTGTTCCCATTCATCCAATCAGTAAAGGTATTATTAGGCACAGGCAACAGACTATAAGCAATCTGAAAGCAGAAAATCTTCTTTTCTATCTCTTTAATACTTGACAGTGTCCTACCAAAAGAATAGAGCCAGAGAACCTCAGACTAAGACTTCTCAAAAAAAAAAAAAAAAAAAAAGGAAATCAAAGAAGGTAGGACAAAGACAGCCAGGGTGAGCTGCTGACCAAAGTGGGTCACAGATGAACCTCCTCTCCTGGTTCCTGTTCCACAATGATGCTCTAAGCACCGCAGAACTGCCAATATCAAGTCTAGCCCACAAAGGCCAGGCTGCAGAAGTCCCCAACAACCCAAGGAACAACAGAAACTCTTTCCTCTTCTCTACTGATTCTCTTCAGCCCAGGATCCTACTCCAGGAGGTTTGAGAGTTAACAGAATTTGGGAAACAGCCAGCTTCACCACTTCTTTTGGACGGAGGGCAGTAGCTTAGTCAATAAATGAAGTTTACTTTAGCCTCTTAGTCCTTGGAATGGACGGTGTGTGTGAGAAAAGGTAATCGTAAATACTTCCCTGATTTTCAGAAAGCACCGATTACCTATGCTCCTTCGACTAATACAAGTATTTTCTGAATTACCTGAGTCTGATTGTTAGACATGGTTTTAAGAAAAGCCCAGACCATTCAGTGGCTTCCAGGGGGAAGAGGAGAAAGGAAACAATCACAGACCTCTTAAAGATGAAACAAAAAATTATAGATTCTGGAAAGAGATAAAAAAAAAAACCCCTCTCTTTGGTTCCAAGTGACCTGACTGCAGAAGTAAAATAAATGCTGCAGTGCATGGGGAGAAACATCTATCTCCCTGAGCAACTGAAACAGCAGCTTCTGCATCTACTAGAACCTACTAGACACCTGCCTCGCCATTATATAACCACACCATGGCCTTAATAGGCCATCACACTCTATGTCAACAGCTGTTAAGCACATCTAAGCTGTCAGCATTTAAGAATCCCTTCCAACGTGGATCCAGATAACCAGGGAGCAGGCCAAAATATGCTCATCGTTCACCCAGAGCACATGACAATTCCTTGTGAATTAAGCTTTACTCATGTCGTCAGAGTAATTTAAGCAGCAAAAGATAGGGCGTTTGTAACTGTAACTAGGAAATTGCACACTGCTACAGAAACACAAATGAGTGCTGGTGTGGTCCTTGCACACATGCAACTCATTGTCCAAGGCATTTCGTTCAGTCTCATTCAGGATTTCAAATATTTCCATACATACGAATTACATAACTGCACACCACAAATGATCACAGATAAAAACCAACATAAACAGTGAACCCGTTTATAAACAAGCTAATGTTTAAAATGCTGCAGTCCTAAAGGACACCAAGGCCTCAGAGAAAAACCAAGAAACACACACACACACACACATACATACGAAAATTAGAAAGCAAGCAGATCAGCCATAATTAGCCACTGGCTTTGCTGACTACTGAAGATAAAAATGTCTCTTTTATATATAAAGCCAAGAATCAACTGTTAGCAATTACATTTACAAAAACATACGACCCTGTCTGTCACAGATTTTTTTATCAATATTTCGGTGTATCCAAGGGCTGCAAGATACAAAATTATTTAAATCATAGATACCATAAACCAGGAAACCAATTAAGTTCATGGAGTCCATCCCCCAGAGGTCAGAGCAAAATAATCACAGGAGCTCAATGTGATTACTTAGAAGAGAGGGGGAGATTTAAAAAAAAAAAAAAAAAAAAAGGAAATGCTGAAACAAGGAACAAAGCTCTCGAACAACTAGGGTTGTTTATAAACATAACTTTGGCTTAGGGAAGAGTAAACAGAACTGTAAACACCTGGGGGTAGGGGGACAGGCAGAGAGGCACCCAAGTCTTGGCTCAGTCCAGTCCCCCTTCAGGGTCCAAGGCTGACATCAGAGAACCCTGGACTTTGGTACATCATTCAGCTCAGACCTGCAGACTTGAGGCCCTCTGATAAAAAACTGACAAAAAGGCTGAAGGGGGCCCCCCAGAGGAAGTGAAACTGACCAATCAATTTTCCACAGCCACCTACCCTGCCACCCTGGTAAAAAAGGCCCCTTGTAGGCTTTGACAAAAAGGAGGGAAAAGGGAACTTCAGGTTGTGAGTGAGAAGGAGAGAAGGCCCAGATAAGTTACTGGCTTCTGAAAACAAGCAGTTGCCATAAAAGCAAAAACAAGGTCGGCGATGATAAGGGCTAGGCTGAGGAGGTGAGGAATTGATGTGGCTTTGGTAGGAAGCAGCAGCCGCTGTAAGGGTCCTTCATCAGGTTGAAGGAAAACACAAAGTGCAGTTTTAGATATAATGAATGACTACACTGAAAGTATTCATTCAAGTGAGCAAAGCAAGAAATCTGGAGTACAAATGGGCTTTGTGGGTCCTCTCAAAACCAAAAGATTCTTCCTGATGACTTTGATTCCAATACTTCCAATGTAGAAGGCTACCCACATTTCCTCAAAAATGAATTTTGTATGTAAAACCGTGTATGTGTACTTATATGGCTTCCTAATTGACCTTGGCCAATTTCACTACTACGGCCCCACAAATCCCTTGAGAACCAAAGGGCCCAATGAGTGTAATGCTCCAGTGTCTGGGTTCCTCATCCACCTCCTCGGTCACCCACCAGGCTTTACCCCCACCGCTGAGAGCCCACCCTGCCTCTACAAAGCCCATGATTCCAGACCCTCCAACAACTAAAAATAACCAGCAACCCAGCTCTCCCAAATTATTTAACCCCTGACTACCTACTGCCACCATGAACACGGGGCGCCCTGGGCCTCTGTTCCCTGAGCCCCTTCCTGCGGAAAAGCAAAGTAATTTTCTTCCTTCTTATTTCCCCATTTTCTTCCTCGCCTCCTCCAATAATCTCGTCTGTCCTCGGGCTCCCATTCCTACCATCCATCAGTCTTAGACGATCAAACGCTGATTGGCAGCTGTCATAAGGTACCAGGTCCCTCATATCTCCCCGGACCCTGCACCCACCACACACCCCTAGTACATGCCCCTATCGTCCTTGTTCCCCTCCTCATTGCCCCCCCTCCGGCTGACAGTTTAGCCTTGTCTTCCCCCATCCTGCTGTCCACATTTCCTATCCCCCTGCCCTCCTTCCCTTAGGATTTCCTAATTGCTGGTTCCAGAGTCCTCTGAGCTTACAGTCTCCGGCTCCTGAGAGTTCCCAATCTCTTCCTTCCAATCACCCCCTCCGCTACCCTCCGCAGCGCCCCGGCTGGGCACCCCCTCCCCATCCCCGGCTCCTCGGTGCCCCAGGTCTCCGCGCTCCCCGGCCCCCCCCTGGCCCCTCAGCCACGGAGCTTCCCTCGGCCGGCTCGCCGGCGTCCCCTACCTCCGGCTCGCCCCCTACCCACCCCCCTCCGACAGCCCCCCTCCCCGTCCGCGTCCCCGATCCCCAACGCTCTCCACTATCCCGAGCCCCGCTCGCCGCGCCGACCCCTCAGCCTCCCAGTCGCGGGTCTCTCCTGCCCCCGCCGCACTCGGACGGACGGCCCCGGGCTGCGCAGCCCCGCAGCCGCCCGCCCCCGCCGCGCCACTACCTTGGCCTTGGTGACGAGGTGCGTGGCCCGCTTGACCACAGCGAAGTTGCCCTTGCCGATGGTGCGGTCGATCTCGTAGTAGCCGATGCGGGCAGGCACCGGCCCGCGGGAGGCCGGGGCCGGGGGACGCGGCGGGCCAGCCGCCGGGGGCACGGCAGCGGGGGCGGCCGGGGGCCCCGGGGCGGGCGGAGGCAGCAGGCGGCCCGCCGGCCCGGCTCCCCCCGCTCCGGCCCCGGCAGCCCCGCCAGCTCCGCTCGCCGCCGCCGCCGCCATCTTGTCGTGCAGTGAAACCTCCCGGGCCGCGGGGAGCCGGCGGGGGAGGGGGCAGGGGGCGGGAACGAGGGGGGCCCGGCGGACGTCACTCCGGGAGGCGGGGCGCCCGCGCCGCCGGGGCCGGCGCCACGGCAACCGCGCGTCACGTGCCGACGCGCGTCACTGCCCGCGGCCATGGCAACCGTGACCTCACCGGCGAGCTCGACCTTCCCGCGTGGGCGCTGCTCCTCTGGCGCTGGCTCCCGGGTGCCCCCCTCTGGGGATGGGGCGCGGGGGGGCGCCGGACGCCGGGCTGCAGGCCGGGTCCCCAGTCGCCCCGGGGATGGCTGGCACGACCCCTGCTGTGACCTCCGTCCCAGTTCAGCAGGCACCCAGCCTCCCTTAGAACAAAATAGCTCCTCATCACCAGAAATACCGGCCTTGTCCCACTTTGGCGCCTGCGGCCACAAAGGCAGGAAGAGCTACGAGAAACTGTAACCAGCTGGTCGCGAGGCAGGGGAATTCTGCAGTAAAATTCCTTCTCCTAACACAGCCCTGCGCACCCGGTACAACTAACCTGATTGTCACCGAATACAGGGGGGATAGGGAAACTGGGATTTGCGCGTTCAAGGGTGGAGAAACCAGCCCAAACATGCGTTCCAGTCTTTGGGTGGGTGAGGGCCACAGAGGCTCCGTCATTTTCCTCGCACCCCGCCCCCCAGCAATTCTATAGCTAGATGACGGTCACAGGGTCCGCGTCCTATTTCTGTCACTTGTATAACCCTGATGGAGCAGTGGTGCACATTGTGCAGAGAGCCACGTCATGGTTAAGGACAAAACCATCTGTTGGGCAAACTAAATAAAGACTAAAATAAGAATTCACTCCTTGCAGGGACTCTCCGAAGACATTCAAGGGGATCAAATTTATAATCCCAACGATAAATCTCATATTCTTTTTTTCTTCCTTCGTCTGCTATCTGGCGTTCCACATCCTCCGGGGCCCCTCACTAGCTCTGGGGTTTCCCTTCTACTGTGTCCCACTGCTTTTATTAACTAGATGAACTTAACCGCTTTAGGTGGGGATGGGACAGGGATAGGCAACTGGGCTGTCCGTAGCACGATGGTCTGTGGCAGGCGGGGGGGCGGGGAGAGGGAAGACTGTGAACACTTCCAGTGTTAAAATGTATTCCTTCAGTCCAGTGCTGATCCATCCACTTGCATGGCTCTCTATGTGGCAGAACTGTCTCGTCAGGCCATTGCATGTACAATATCCAAAACTGACACCCAGGGCACCATGAATGTGTGAGGAGAGCACATATTTACTCACTCCAACCAAAAGCTGTTTACGAGCCCTCTGGTTCCCCATCTGACTATAAGTAAAGGCGGGCACTAGGATGGGCCAGAGAGGTCATCCCACAGTTGTCTTGTATCAGTTCCCTGGAAGCGGTTCCAAACTGCCAACACAATTAACAGTAATTGGCTCCCTGACTAGCACATAAGGATGAGGATGAAATGGTCCTCAGCTTCTGGCACTGCTTAAGCCCTTTCCTCGGTTGAGCTCATTCAATCCCAGATAAATGATGGGGTGTTCCCAGCCTCGCTTACCACTTCATGACCTCACTCACCTGCCTCTGCGTTAACTTCAGAGCTGGGCCCCAGAGTCCCAGTTTTACCATCTCCCTGGGGAGGGAGTCTCAACAGAAACCTTAGCTAGCTGGGAAGGCAAGGGGAAAAGAATCTTTTACTCTGGAAGCTGCAGGAGTAGCACCAAATCCATTCTCACCAATGTCTTTTTTTTTTTTTTTTAAGATTTTATTTATTTATTTGAGAGAGAGAGAATGAGAGACAGAGAGCATAAGAGGGAGGAGGGTCAGAGGGAGAAGCAGACTCCCTGCCGAGCAGGGAGCCCGATGCGGGACTCGATCCCGGGACTCCAGGATCATGACCTGAGCCGAAGGCAGTTGCTTAACCAACTGAGCCACCCAGGCGCCCATTCTCACCAATGTCTTTACAGCCTCTCCTCCACTCATAGACGTCACTGGAGCATCAAGTACCCCGACTTCTGGCACTCTCTGGAGGGTGTCAAAAACAAGAAGCCTCTGAGGAGAAACAAGGAAATGGAGCATGGGTCTCACTTCCAAAGAGGAAAGGCAGATCATGCTTGTACCCTAATAAAGACTGGACTGTGTATGCTGTGTGTTAGATCATGTGTGCTCCCTGCCTGTATGAATTGGGGCCAGTAGATGGTGTGTTCTATGGAGACTCAGACAAAGACTTGCTGGAAAGCTCCCTGAAGAGTCCTCTTTGGTGAGAAGAACATGGAAAATTCCGGAGGGCATTGCACAGTGAAAATCCTCAGGGGACAAGGAAAACACTTTAGATGTATGCATTTAATAAGGATTTCTTGAATGCTAAGCCTGAGGTAGGCTTAGGGAGGAGCTCACAGTCAAAAATAACAATGTGTGAGACACTACACTAAGCAATTTACATAAATGAACTCACTTAATCCACAACAACCCTATGAAACAGATTCTATTATTATCCCCATTTTGCAGACAGGGAAAATGAGGCACTGCAGGATTAAGGGAATTGGCCATGGTCACAGAACTAGAATTCAAACGCAGGCGGCATGCCTCTTGAGCCTGAGATCTTCCCAGACTGGATTATAAACACTGTCAAGGGAGTAGCTGGTATGAAAAAATGCCTTCTCCAGAAGCCCAGGTTGACTGAGCTCAGTTTATACCCAGGGAAGAAGAGGACTTCGGGAATTCTTGAGAGCAGGACAGAGCTGGGACCAAAGCGCATCAACAAACAGCAGACTACAAAACAGGACTGAGGTACCTAGGGTGGCTTCACTTGTAAGTCGTGCCACCAGGAGACTCACTGTTTAGCGTGTACTTCTCCTGCCTTTAGAAAACAGGTGGGTAGGTGTGTTCCCACCCAGCCGCAAACTCCAAGGAGTGGCCCCAGGGCTGAATTCTCCGAGCTGCAGTCCCGTGTAGAGGCAGAGAGCTAGCCACCACCCAGTTCCCAATCAGCTCCACAGCCAACTCACTCTTTTCTAGAAAAGCAAAAGATTAAAAAAAAAAAAAAAAGGCAAAAGATAGATTCAGAGATGAAAATGAGACATTTTTCTATGTAATGTCATTGTGCTTGTTTCTAGAATTTGAAAAGGGCAAACCAAGGCATTCCTGATGTATACCATAGGCCCTTAGACAGTTCTAGAAATGATACTAAACCTCTGAGGACCTAAGGTCTGCCCGGAAAAGAATATAAGCAGTAGGAGGTAATACATTAACTCTTTTATGATTTTAAAGGCGCTCTAGCCTATCTGCAGGGCAGCTTACCAGCGACCTGAAAGAAAACTGCAGCCTCACAACACAGCTCCAAAGATTCTCTGAGCCATCAGGGCCTTGAAGAAAGTCCAACCCTCACTTTACGTTGGCCCAACTTATTACTGCTCTGAAAAAAAGCTAACGTTATAGGAGCATTCAGTTGATAGAGGGGCATCATTCAGAAATTTTGTATGTCGGAAAGCAATGCCATATTTACGTGCCATATATTCCCAAACAAGGGAATTATTAGCCGGTTATAAATTCTGCTGTCACGTAGAAATCAGGGCACTGCTTGATCACATTGTCCAAATCCTCGGTGTGCCGGGTTCTCCGGATGAGCTGAATGTGCTCCTGTTTTTGTGAGGGCTGTGTTCTGCATTACTACCTCAGCTGGGAGAGTGCTGCCTTCCCCCCTCCTAGCCCAGATCAACCTAGTCAAGTCCAAAGGCTCCCCCTGGGTGTCAAGAAACAGCTCTAAGCAGCCACAGTCTCCTGCTATAAAATATCTTGGGGAAGGGGCTTTCGAGAAGCTAAATAAGCTTTCAGTCAAGGATTTTCTGTTCGGCTTGCCCACATTTTTCTTTTTAATGGAGCCATTCGAGCTATTACACAAAACCTAAAAAAAAAAAATTATCCTTATTACTTTCCATATGTTCTAGGATATGGTTGAAGCATTTTTAGATTATTATTAATTACCCTTTAGATCATCCAAAAGATTTTTAAGTATGATTTTTTTTAAAGATTTTATTTATTTGAAAGAGAGAGAGAGAATGAGCAGTAGGGAGAGGCAGAGGGGGAGGGAGAGAGAGAGAGAGAGAGAGAGAGAAGCAGACTCCCTGCTGAGCAGGAAGCCTGACACAGGGCTCCATCCCGGGACCCAGAGATCATGACCTGAGCCAAAGGGAGATGCTTAACCGACTGAGCCCCTAACTATGATTTTTTTAGATGTTTTCTGCACTCTTAGATGTGACTATATCATCTTTTAGGATCAATGTTTTTCCTCAGGGAGATACGCCTTTGATTTTATATGAGAAAATACATTAGGTGCAGAAAAAAAATTCATTCAGGACAACTTTTTTCACAAAAGGATACGCTCCTTAACGAAAGGTACACGTAGTTACTCTGCAGTCCACTCCTTAATATTTATACCAATAAAATTTTTTTCTTATAATGTGCTTCTTTCTCACAGAGAGACAAAGAGTGGGACTCAACAAATACTAATTAAAATGTTGGCATATTTGGATCCTTTTCTTTCCCTTACATAGAAGTGTACCTAAAATTCCAGGAATTCACAACATCTCACATTAGATGAGTGGAAATTCTTTATTTCCCTGGCTCTGAAGGTACAGAACTGCCTCTTTCCTGTTTATTCCTTCATCTTCACATCTCTGCTGACTAAAGAGCCATCCTCCCTGCCACACCTGCCTTGGGAATTGCCTCTCAGTTTTAAGTGCTCACCTTCAAACAGCCTTACCTGTTTTTAAGAGAGCACAGAGACTCTGCCTTTCCGGCAGCTTCCTTGCATTAACAGGGGGGTTTGCTTAGGTTTTCTACCAGCCTCTACAGCTGTTGGCTAAGCAAAACGTATGCAACTGGGGTTGACTTCCATAGGTAGCCGATCTACCTTTGTTTGCTTCATTTCCACCACAATTTTCCTCAGTTAAACTAGAAAATCCATCTTGCACCTCAAAGGCGGGCTCT